TGTGGGCCTTCCCACATCCATCCAGAGTCAGCAATAGAATAGAAGCCATTCAGCTTCTCTCTGTACTGCCTCTTGGCCGCTGTGATGGTTTTCCTCAGTCTGTACTTTGCAGCTTTGTACTCCATCTCATCGCCTGATCTGAATGCATGAGAGTGAGCACGCAGCATGTGGCATACCTGACTGTTTATCCAGGGCTTCTGGTTGGGGAACCTCCTGACTTGTATGGTGGGCACAATGTTGTCAATACAGGTACTAATGTACCTGGTCACATACTCAGCATAATCCTGTACGCTGACAGAAAAGTCCTCTGAGGTGGCTGCAGCTTTAAACACATCCCAGTCGGTCTGGGTGAAACAGTCCTGCAAGGTGCTCTCAGTCTCCATGTTCCAAAGCTTCACTTGTTTAGTGACAGGGTTTGTTTGTTTCAGTCTTTGTCTGTAAGCTGGATACAGGAACAAAGAAATGTGGTCCGAGCGTCTGAAGTGGGGGCGGGGTGCGGCTCTGTATGCACCATGTATGTTACTGTAAACATGATCCAGAGTGTTCTAGCCTACTTCTATGTTAATACTTTAATTAGTAACACTTAATTTTACTTAACTCTTCCAACACAGGACTTTACTTGTAACAGAGTAGGGTACTTTTATAGTGTGATATTAGTACATTTACTTAGGCAAAGGATATAAATATTTCCTCTACTACTGGTGGTAACATACAAATGAACAGGCTTTAATAATATAACGTGTTATAGTTATACACTTTTTTAAAAAATCGTGTTTAGAATTATGTTTATTCTTTAGGGTCAATCTAGTGGCACAGTCTGTACTGTAACATTTTCTGAGACTATCACACCATGAAAATGCCATACCGTGGCAACCCTACAATATACTTAGCTCATGAGACAAGAGGGTCTACACAATATTGGGTCCATGACAACAAGACAAGATGATATTTTAACACTATTTTTAAGAAATGTTCAATGATGAAATATATGACTGGAAAAATACTCTTATTTGACTGAAAGTCACAAAATGCAAAATAATGCAGGTGCATTTGAAATGTTTTAATTATTCATCTTATAATGAATGTCACTTTAGTTCTACTTTCTGAGTATGAATCATCATATGCAGTAAAAGACAACAATATACAAACACTGTAAAAGGTTTTGCCTCAAACTCAGCTGACTGGCTTCTCTCCTGTATGATTTCACATGAGGCTCTTCAGACCTTATAACTGTGCATGAGCTTAGTTCTAATTGAAGCTGCAGTTTCCCACAGAATTACATTCTAATTGTGGTGGTAGTTTGGGGGGTGGGGTGTCACACTTTCAGAATTTCATTTTTTAAATTAAATATAGTAATGCTATGGTGCTGTTCATCTGACCTGTACCTTCTTAAGTAGCTCTCCCATAGCAGCAGCATGTTGACTGCTGCTCTCCTCCTACATCTCTCATCTCCTGACCCTCTCTTGTTGCTTCAGTAGCATTGGTTGAAACAAAAAATACTCAAAACGAATCAGCTGGATCACTAATCACACTAATCAGCTTTCCCACATGTTTTTCAATATTCTCCCAGACTGAGGGGGCAAACATTCAACATTAGAGTTTATGAACTGGCATTAACTTTAGCCACTTGTAGAGTAGTCCCTGTATATATCCAGGCTATATATAGTGTGCTAACCTCAGCAACAGCTATATTCTAAAATTAGCTTAACTAGCCTTACTAGTTTGTTAATAACTTATTAGAAGAGCTGTATCTACACAATTGACAGTTTTAAGTCAAAAACAGACACAGAAAGGAGGAGCTGTTCACAGATGGTCAAATGTCATGGCTGTCATGCGAATACATGCGCTACACACAGCACTACATTGAAATAAGACTTTACCTATTTTAAATCACTATGTGATGGTCATTGTCGATATTGTGGCGGCCAGCCACACATAAATCAATGTATGGGAAACAGTGGTGTGAGACAACCTAACTGAAATTGCAAATTTTATTCTCACACTTCCCCATGCCGGCTTCTGCTTGTTTTATTTTGTACTGATATCACAAGACAGAATTCACTTCAACAAGAAATATTGTCATGTTTTAATACCACAAGATCTCATGGCATGAGATCTCATCACACCCCTAGTACTAATACTTTATTGACTGCACTTTAATACACAACACTGAGAAAAGCCACTTTGACATTTTAATGTACACTAACAACTCTCATATCTACATGAGTAGTGACACGTGCAGTCGACAAGCTCTTTTCTCTTGTTCAGGTCACTTTGTTATACTGTAGTTATGAAATGATTATACTGCGACAACTACTTGTTTTCCAAATACGTACAGGAAAGGTGTAGTTACAGCAAACAGTGTCTGTGGCCAGTTCTGTATCATAACTGTGTAAGTGTAATGTAGCCTAGGATTCTTTAATATGACATCTAACTCTTCGGTAATAGTCAGTTCACTACAACTCAATTTATTATTTCTTTGGATACAATGCTTTTATGAAGTCAAAATACAAAGAATATTTTCTTAGGCAGCTAATTTTTTTTTTTAATTATTCAGTTTTTAAGAAAATAAAGGAAAGCCGTTCCACCTGTGGAGAAGAAACAGGCTATGGACTTACTTCCACTGGATACTGTTCTTGGACTTCTTCTCTATAAGCCCAATTCCCTCCAGCACATTAGTGATGTCGTAGATGCGCCGTTTCTGCCGCACTGCCAAGGTGTCTGCAGCCTGAATGACAAGACAAAAGCAATGAAAAACACAACAGAGATTTCTGCCATCTCCTTAAGTACAGCTAAAGGTACATATAAAGAGGGACCACTGTATCTGTACCAACTAGTTTAATGCTCTACAACCAAAAACCCTGAGGTTTTTACCACCCATCTTAGTTACCCAGCACAAGCTCCCGGTGATTAAGAAACTAATAATATGGCTGTTGCTGATAAGTGTCGGCTTCGTGAGCAGGCCCTGTGGGTGAACTTAAGTCACAAACCTGCTGAATAACCACTAATAAACTAGAAAGCTATGTATTTAATGGTTCACATAGCATCAATTCATTATTCACTAATGCAAACATATGTAAAGATTTCCAGTTCAGAGTGGCTACAGGAGCCACAGGTGAGAGAGGCAAACACATATCCAATCCTTCATAATTTATATAGCACTGATTAATAACATGATTGTGTTTTACTTTTTCCAGCAGTGTCAACATATAGACAGAGTTTTGGTTTTTAGTTCAAAACAAATGTAAGTCACAGCTCTCTTTTGAAAGCCCTTACAAAGTATAAAATATATATGTTATGATGGAATAAGCACACCAATTTCCCAGTGTTTGAACCAACATCTGATAAAAGGAGAACAAGGCACAAAATAAAACTTTTTTCTGTCCAGGACACAGTATTTATACGAGACAGTAACTCAAGTGATGGCTTCAAGTGAATTGGTTTCATAAATTAAAAATGCAGTGTGTTTTATTGGACAGTTGAAAATGAGAAAGAGAAAGGAAAAAAAATCCAAGAATGTCTGGTCTTTTTTTCTAAATCAGCAAAGCACAGTTTCACCATGAGTGTCAGCAGCTATTAAGCTAATCTGTCTGCAAAGTCATTGAGGTTACAGTGAAAAAGAAACTATTCCATTATACAAAGTGATACTTTGCTGGTCAAGCTGACAACTGGTTAAAAAAAATAATAAGTTCCTAATATTCTGACCCTCTCATGTATGTAGCTGGGGAGGACAAAAATATAGACAACTCTAAATATAATGTAGTCCAGTACAAATTCACCTGTATCTATGACATTAATAATAAATATATAATTGAATTTATACATTTATGACAATTTAACCAAAAGCTGAAACATTTTGAGCTTCGTAAACACAGATGTTATGGTAGAAGTTTCACAGTGGATTGCATACAATTGTACAGGTGTACCTAATAAAGTGGCGACTGGTGTGTGTGTGTGTGTGTGTGCGTGTGTGTGTGTGTGTGTGTGCGCGTGTGCATTTTTGAGAGAATGTTTTATCATGTCTGGGCTTCAGTATATGAGTTCAAGGCTTATAGTGAAACTGACTGAAAATCAGGCAAGTGATTTGTTCTCAACCTCTTTTTCTAGTGAGTAATAACAAACAGGTTCCTCAAGTGTCTTAAAAGTGACTGGCACTAAAAGGCTGCTCAGCAAGCCGGACCGTAGTTTTGTGGGAATGTTAACGTATTGTAATAGGGTCAAGGTAGAGAAGAGGGCTTGATTTTGAGAGAATGTTTTCCCTTTGAAGTGTCTTTAACTCTTGAGGAAAGGCTTCCCGCTGAACGAGCTTAATGACAGACTCAGAAGTTCTCCTACGTTCCTCAACTGTCACAAATTCACTGTCGTGCTTTAGCTTAGACCCTAGTCTCTTGATTCTGGCGACCATCTTAATGAGCGTTTATCTGTCAGGTCACTAAGAACATTATGGTCTACATACTGTGATGAAGACCACAGAATACGTTATTTTACGTACTCCTGACTGAAAGGCTAATGCACTGTTAATAAAAGCTTTTTGAGTAATTACTGGAAACTGAGTGAATACGTGGCGTTAACTGACAACAGTGTCATCAATCAGAAAATAACCGTTTTTATGTGAAGACGTTGAGTCCATGAAGTGGACGAGAAAAACGGACCCACTTTTAAAACCCTGAACCTGCAGGGGGGCATAGTCTGAAGAGTTGGCGAGTCTTCTCAGAGGTCAGTTTGTAACCTTTTTTCTCCCCTTTGAGAAACACGAAAACACGTTTACACAACAGCGGTCTGAAAACTATAAAGTCATAAGCAAAGAGGTATCACCCATTCACATTAGCATGTCACACAGCTAGGCTAGGCTAACAGGCTGACTAGCAAAAGTACATGTAACCTAACAACAGCGGACAGGCTCAAAATGACATGTGCTAGCTAACAACAAAGAGTCGGGACTGCATGCTCACAGCTTTCAGATCCAGAACTCCGTCCTTCGCTTCCTGTAGTAAAGTCACAAACTTGGTCGTGAGCAGTCCCAGGCTCTTTTCGTGCCTGCTCGGGGTCTGTGGCTGCAGCGAGTCTCCCACAGCTCCCAGTTCGCTTCTATTACTGGCCGACTCCAGCTCCATCATCACTTGGGACCAGCTCCGTACTTCTCCCTGCCTCCCCGACCAAACCTAGCCAACGAGCCACCGCCGCAGTCAGATAAACAGAAGGCCGGGAAACTGTGTGGCAGGTAGCAAGTGTATAATGAGTAGTCCGACCTGGTTTGTTCCAAAATATTTCAATAAATGGAGCTGAACAGGCAGGCTACGGTAATTCAATGTGCGAGCAATTGATAGGCAGAGCCGTTGGCCACGCGAGGTATGACGGGACAGTTCAACCGTTGGAGGGAGCATCTGCAAATACCCACATCAAATCATAAACGTGTAGCAGCGCAAGAGCGCGTTTATAAAGCCTGTGAAGTGACTAAATATGTTTTCTAATATGTTGATCTATTGTATCGTAATAAAAAATTTGTATAATATAGTATTTAGTATAGTTGGTGTTATTTAATTTTCAGGGTTGTAAAAAGAATGGTTATGCTGATTTTTGTAGGAGGGCTATTTTTACACCTGCCCTTACCTTCTCAAACTTGAAGAAACCACACGCATGCGTTTACCAACGCGCGCGTATACATGCACGATACACGCGCTGGCTCACACATATACTCGAAAGAAAAAGCTATAGAGAAAAGTATTATTGCATTTAATATAGACAATTTCGAATTGTTTCATGTCACGAAATTTGCGGAGGTGTCGGAATTCCGCGGGTGCAGATTCTGTTTGAGCCTACTGATAACTGATCAAACTTGTTTGGACGAAGATGGTCAGATATAGTTGAAAGCCCTGAAAAAACACAGGAGCTTGTTTTGTCATCTTATGTTTTATTAGTCTACAGTATGTAGTAGTCAGAAAATCTTTGGCTTGTCACCAAAACTGTGCAGCATTTAGTAGCCAGTTCATACAGTATGTAAACTTATAGTCTGTTTTAGTTAGACTACCTCGTAGCCCATAGAGTTAACCCATACAATACATACAGTATCAGAATAGATACAGAAACAATATAGACTGCATAAATATAATATTTGATCTACATGAAATAAGTAAGTATAAAGTTTTTCAAATGTTACTTTATTTAATTGACAAGTAGATGAGGTTCTGAAAATAAATGTATAAAAAAGACACACCATTGGTTAGAATCAGCTTTGAAAAATCACTGTTATCCTCTGCTCACTCTAGGAATGTCCAAAGTAGTAACTGTTACTGGCCGACTCCAGCTCCATCATCACTTGGGACCAGCTCCGTACTTCTCGAATTTAATTTGGATTTGTTTGAAATGGAGAATAATAATTCAGTAGCCTACTAATGTATTGAGCCACCACTCTCTCCTCTTCTGTCCCCTATTATTCTGCCCATTTGGTACAGGACTGCTCAGCATGACTAGAATCACTATCACACCACTGAACCTTGTATTTAAATAAAATTTATCTGTCAGATCCTTGACACATATGCTTTATAGTGGTTTTCCCCGTTTTATCTTGACTACAGAGACGATGGAGTTGAGCTATGGAAAATGGCAAAAGAATATTGTTGATTGGATAGCGACTGTAGTTATCCATTATCAGTGTAACAGACTGTTACATCAGTGATTACATTAGGCACACCGATGTGGCCTCCACTCCACAGTAATTTTCACATATTTCCACAGTAAGTATTTCATAACAAAATTGTACGCTATTGTTTAAAAGAACATTTTACTGAACATTTTAAAGAACATGTCAATAAGACAATACTTTGTCCACAACGTCATGATTTCCTTAGTAACGTTTTACTGTCACCAAATAGAAGCCAGTGTCATTCATAAACTATCCAGCAGGGGGAGGTCGTGCCCAAAGAAAACTCCCTCTACTTTAGTTACGCTTTAGATTCAGTAGATTCGTGGCGCTATAAAACTGCCTAGTACGTAAAAGAGAACCAACCATATACAATTTATATAAGATTTGCAAACAGATTAAGCAGTCAGACACATATCATAGCACTTCTGGTGTGTATTCAGAAACATTGCTCTATAGAAGTATTTGACGAAAGTGCTTGTCGTAGCAGAAGTAGTCAGCTGAGTAAATAGGACCTCTGGTCGTGTAACAGCAAAATACTGCATTCAAACATATTGAGGTAAATATGTCTCACTTATATTCAGCAAATAAATCAGAAACATGACATGTCTGTTGTAGACATGCCATGACAGAGTACCTCTCTTATTAATTTTTACTTCGTGCCTAAACGCTAGCTGTAGTGGTAGCGGACCGGGATGCTAAATACACAGTAGCTGACACCGAGCAGTGATCACAATCGGCTTTTAAACATTAATTTTAGAATATATAAAACTCATGTCCTCTGTCAGTTAGCCTTTAACAGGTTATTAGTGAAGAAGTACTGGCCTCATTGCGCTACTTGTACTGAATGAAAACGATGCTTGTTATCTGTTGGTTAACATAGGTAATTTAATGAATTTAACGATATGACAGTGAAGGTAATAATGGCTGATCGAGGCTTTGTTTTAGCTTCGACACTTTATTCAAAAAATGGTTCATTACTCGGGGCTTCAATGACACAGTGCTCGAGTAGTACATCTGGTGGTCAATAAAATAAAGTGCAATCGAGACGTGTCATTTATTGGTTCTTGGATTGTTTGAGATTTGATTCGCCATGCACCTTCCTGTTCTACTACACTACATGGTTGTATGGTTTCAAGCCGACACAATAAAATGTGAATAAACATGAACTCATGTTGAAGGCAGTGTTTCTTATTTGGCACGTCTGATTGTAGTAGGCTATAGCTATATACTTAGCCTGACATTTTGTGCTATGAATCATATTCTATCCTAAATCAAGCCTAAATAGCCCATAGCGGGGTGGCTGTGGCTCCTGACCAGCAAGTTGGTGGTTCGACTCCCGGTCTCCCCGCATGCCTTAGTGTCTCTGAATTTATACATGGTGGGTGTTCATTAGGCTAGATGGCAGATGTGATCTAATTTCAAATGTTTAATTGATGACCCAAATAACACTCAGCTGTGTCAGGAATGAACCCACACTACATTGTTGCAAGACTGTGGTTTTCCATGATGCACCACAAGTTCCAATCATATTACTTTGTGGTCGTTTCACCTATTTGAGTAGTTTTAGCTACTACACTCCATGATCCTTCATCAACTCCCACCAATGTGCATGTTACAGTGCTTACATGAACTGTTTTTATTTGTTCCAAGTACATGGTTTAGTAATGTTATAGAATCTTTAGTACTGAATGCAACACTGTCAAACCACATCTCTGTCAACTCATTCTCTATTTGCTTCAAAGGCTCAGCTCTACCAAAGAGCTGAGACAACCAAACCAGCGACAGGGTTTCGATACTGAATGAAGCAGTAAAGTGGTTCATACGTCAGAAATCACATGACCAAAGCACGCAGCGGCCTGGGGCCCTCAGCTCCAAACATAATTTCATTGTATGTGTTACAATGACAATAAATAAAGCTTCTTCTTCTTCTTCTTATACTCCCAAGTCATATCACACTGGTTGTGGGGCATTGGGTTTACATTATATAGAGACTTAAAGTATAACAGCTTTATTGATGTTTTACTGTGACCTTTTATTTTTCAGCTGTGACCATGAAGAAGAACAAAGGAAAAGCAGGCAGCACTGCTGAGAAGGAGTTTGTATTTGAGTTCAGGGCGGGAAAACACAACTGTGTCCTCAAAGTGCCTCTTCAGTTCCCCGTTCAAGAGAATATTAGTGACCTTCATGGACGCCTTATGCTGCTACATAAAATACCCTGCTACGTAGAAAATGGTGAGATCTTTGCATTTGGTAATGAAAATTAATTTTATGACAAGTTACACAACTTGTGTTTGTGGTGTTATACTGCTTATGGGTGCAGCCGACTGTGTCAGATGAAAGTCCTGTGCTTCTTTACCTTTTTTTCTCCCTTCTTTGGCAACATTTGCTAATCTTCCTATACTGAGATTGGTGTGGTCTTTAGCCATCTGTAAGCTAAACATACACATTTGACAGGGGGGAGCTTGTCAGTGGTGGTAGTGTTTTATTTCTTGCTTTTCCCTTTAGGGGGAGCCACAGTGCAACCCAGATCCGCAGATATGATTTGTGTGTTATGCCGGAAGACCATCCGGAGGAAGAGTTGTTTTAGTAACTTATAAAACAATATTTTACAGTTTTTGTTTTAAAACTTTGCATGCTGTTTATTTTTTAAAGTTGCAAATAATTGTTGCCTATCTTCAAATTGTTGGTCTAAATGCCTGGAACCATATTTTATGCAGAAATGTACAAAATAACAGGACCATTATTTGAACTGAATCTAGTGAAAAAAAATTTTGTCCTGGGAAAGAAATTATTATAACGTAAGCATGCATTCAGACAGTTTAAACCTAAACAGATGGAACAGATCCAGCCCATTGTTTTTGCATTGTACTACTTGGCTTGCATAGAAATTAAAACATTTTTAAATAACAGGATTTTTTTTGTTGCTGTTTTGTTTGTTTTAGTTTTTGCTGTGTCTGCATCTCCTCCCTAGAGCTTAAAGCCTTGCTTTCCAACTTCATTGAGAATGAGACCATCCAGGATTATGACAGAGAGGCTGAGCTGGCCCTACAGAGACTCACAACAGGAGATGTAGATGTAAACCAGCTCACCAACATGTGGACCAGGTCTTATGTAGAGGTGAAAATATTTCAGTGTGCTGTTGTGCCTAAAAACTAGTACCAGTGTTTCTAATATCTATTAATTCGTTAAAGCACAAGCTCTCATATCAGTGTCTGCCAACATGGAAGGCTGTCAGTTACAGTTTTGTTGTACATCATTAGTGTATTTTATAAGAAAGTGACAATACTTGATTTTTATTCAGATTTCTAAAATTGGCATCTCTATGAAAAATGTCTATAATTAATATGGACAGCAGGCTTTATTGTTGGCAGGTGTTCCAAAACATTCATTTCAGACCCTGGCTGCTCAACACATCCTGATTTTATAGTATGTCCACTACTCCATGGTTGTGTAACAGCACAGCAGAGTGTTTTTCAAATGCTCCTGCTAACTTTAGGACAGTCGTGTGGATCATTAAAGCAATTTAAACAGAAATAGGGCGGTGCAGCTGCAAATTGATTATTCATGAGGATTTTAAAAAGTCATTACATTAGCCCTTGTGCTGCGTTTAATGTCTTGCTTATTCATTACACGCGGTAACACTTTGTTACGTTTCTTCACAGAGATTCACTATGTGTTGATGGTTTGATGTTTATGAGATTGTAGTCATTCCTTTTTTATCATGGATCAATAGGAAACAAACAGTCCAGTGAGATTCAGAGTGGACCTTATGGTTTTCCAATCAAGTCATGTGTGACCTACACACTGGCACATTTCCTGGAAAGCAAACATCTCTTATTTCATATTCTGATTATAGATGATCCATGGCCCTGGTTTATTGAGCAGAGCAGAACATTCAGAATGTGCTTACATCACGTTTTGCATTCCACGTTTGTCATCCTCTGATCACTAATCATTTAGTTTTTGCCCTTTATACTGAGTCAGCTGCCCACTTTTCACTTTAATTCTCAGCGTGCACGCAAGATCATTAGCTACAATGATATTTCAGTGGATTTTTTTAATACAACATAGAAATCGTGCAGTGTGACCATGATATTATTTTGTAATTTTGTATCCTTTTAGAAATATAAAATTCTTTTGTCAGCTGCCATATTTAAATAGTTCTTTTCTTTCCTCTGTCATGATTTCAGACGACACTGGAGCACGCTCGTCCCGAAGAGCCCAGCTGGGATGAGGACTTTGCCAGTGTTTACCATGAGTTGATCCACTCCCCTGCCTCAGACACTCTTCTCAACCTGGAGCACAACTACTTTGTTAGCATCTCCGAGCTTATCAGTGAGAGAGACATGGAGATCAAAAAGCTTCACGAAAGGTTGGTATTAGAGATTACTGCCCAGAAGTGGAATCCTTGGATTTACTGAATGTACAGTTTTTTCCTCATTTCTCTTTGTAAATTCATTTAGAGTAGGGCTAAAGCGGGCAGCACAGTGGTTAGCACCGTTGCCTCACAGCGAGAAGGTTCCGGGTTAGGGCCCCACCCAGGACCTCTCTGTGTGGAGTTTGCATGTTCTCCCCGTTCTTGCGTGGGTTCTCTCCGGGTACTCTGGCTTCCTCCCACAGTCCAAAGACATGCAGCTTAGGTTGATTGGTGTCTCTAAATTGCCCATAGGAGTGCGTGTGTGTGTGGTTGTTCGTCTATGTGTTAACCCTGTGATGGATTGGCGACCTGTCCAGGGTGTACCCCACCTTCACCCGATTGCTGGCTATCCAAGTTATGTTTCTTTTTCAAAATTTGTGGAATAATATGCCAGTCACATGTCATAAATATGGACTTATAACATATGGCTCTGTTATTCATGATTTGTATAGATGATGATGTACCTCACTGAATATGTTTCTGTCTGCCAGACAAGCAACTGAAATGGACAAAGTGATGAATGAGCTGGGAAATACTCTGAGTGACCAGGATGTAAATGCAGTGGCATCTCAGCACTTCGATGCACAGCAGGTAAAAAATTGTTTGAGTGCTCTGTATTCTGGGGCACTGGTAAAAATGTGTGCACCTATCTAATTACTCAGTGTTTGATATTGTCTTCTTTAAACAGGTGCTGGAGAACAGGTGGGCCAGTGAGTTGAAGCAAGTTACTGGCATTCAGAAGCAAGAGTACCAGGAATGGGTTGTCAAACTGCACCAGGACCTGCAGAAATCCAACAACAGCAGCAAAATTAAGTGAGTTCATTTGTATCTTTCTGTGTATCTTTCTACTCTGTTAACATGTTGTATTTGTGTCTATACTAATCTTTGTGTGTCTACACACATCTGTCATTTGTAGGATTATTTGACACTCGTATGCAATTGAATAGGCATTTTCTGTTCTGACAATCCCAGATTTTATCTTGAAAATCTGAGGCTAAAGCAAAAATGAATGTTGGAGTCAGGTGCTTACTTGTTAAATAGAAAAAGAAACGCTACAGTACTGATACAGATGAATGTAATCTGTAAATGCAGCACTTCGAAGTGGGCTCATCATCAAAAGGCAGTGACACAGCTTTATGTCTTTATCCACCAGCAATATGCCTTTGGCATATTGACAAAGAAGACCAATTGGTGGAAGCTGCAAAAGAAAGAATGTCGTGAGGAATTCAGACAGAAGTTGAGACAAGCTTTGGGTGGTCAGGAAGAACTTCCAGATGACTGGGAAACTACAGCAGAAGTGATCAGGGAGACAGGTAGGAAGGTGCTAGGTGTGTCATCTGGAAGGGGGAAAGAAGATAAGGAAACGTGGTGGTGGAACGAGGAAGTACAGGACAGCATTCAGAGGAAGAGGCTAGCTAAAAAGAAGTGGGACGTAGAAAGGACTGAAGACAGTAGACAGGATTACAAGGAATTGCAGTGTAGAGTGAAGAGGGAGGTGGCAATGGCCAAACAGAAAGCATATGATGAGTTGTATGCCAGGTTAGACACGAGGGAAGGTGAGAAGGACTTGTACAGATTAGCGAGACAGAGAGATAGAGATAGGAAGGATGTGCAACAGATAAGGGCGATTAA